GGTTTTACAAGTTAAGAGAGCAGTATAGTGACTTGTACAGAAAGCTGGTTTTACACGTTAAGCGATCTGTATAGTGACTTGTACAGTAAGCTGGTTTTACACGTTAAGCGATCTATATAGCTACTTCTACAATAAGCTGGTATTACACGCTAATTAAGCGAGCTGTATAGCTACTTCTACAATAAGCTGGTATTACACGCTATTTAAGCGATCTGTATAGCGACTTGTACACTAAACTGGTTTTACACTTAAGCGATCTGTATAGCGACTTGTACAGTAAGCTGGTTTTACACGTTAAGCGATCTGTATAGCGACTTGTACAGTAAGCTGGTTTTACACGTTAAGCGAGCTGTATAGTGACTTGTACAGTAAGCTGGTTTTACACGTTAAGCGATCTATATAGTGACTTGTACAGTAAGCTGGTTTTACACGTTAAGCGAGCTGTATAGCGACTTGTACAGTAAGCTGGTTTTACACGTTAAGCGAGCTGTATAGCGACCTGTACAGTAAGCTGGTTTTACACGTTAAGCGATCTGTATAACGACCTATACAGTAAGCTGGTTTTACACGTTAAGCGATCTGTATAACGACCTATACAGTAAGCTGGTGTTACACGATAAAGCGATCTGTATAGCTACTTATACAATAAGCTTGTTTCACGTGTTGGACGATCGTTAAAGTTTGAAAGCAAGCACGCATGTGAACAAAAGAACACTTATTTATTTAATTTATGTCATTGGTTTATTGTATGCTGTTAACACCAGACACCTTATTTTTTTCTTCTAATCCTCTGAGATGCAGGAAGCTTATTACACCATCTCACGAGGACGTTTAATAATATCATATAAAGTGGATGTAAAATTGTTCTCAGAAGCTTTTTTTGTTGTTGTTCTATGATGGAGGGAGGAATTCTGGGACTTTTATTATCATTACTGTCTTGTACCACGACTTTGTAACAGTGGAGTCATGATAAACTTTTTAATCAAAGTTCATAACTTGTCAACGTATGAAAACTTTCCATAGCAGTACACGATACATTTTATTTCTTTTAACAGGAAAGTGTGTAACAACTGTAAATGTCCTCGTGAAGCCCACGATGTTTACCACGAGGAGTTCGTTAATGTTCGAGATCGAATCGGCATCAAGTCGGCACCTGACCCAACTAAAAATATATCCAAGGAAAAAACGCTACAGGAGGGTTATTCGTGGTGTCCCCCGGGGCTGTCAAGAGACAAGGTACAAACACACTTTCACTTTCAAGAAAAATATTAACCATAGGCATAATCACATTGGGAGGAAATAAATGGGATATATCATACAACACTAGTTACAGAATACTTTATCAAGTGTTATAGATAAAATATGCCTAATGTTTATTCAGACAAACTCGCCTGTAGTAACTTTAAAAAAAAAAAAAAACATTAGTGCAGTGACTTTAAAAATAACCATATAAGATGGTTTAAGATGTTGACTTTATTGGTTTTATAAGAACATTTAGTGAAAACTTTGAAGAATATTTACCTAAACGACTTCAGATAAGTATCTTGAAAATAAACATCGATAAATCTTTGTTGTTAGTAAAAAACTGACTAGGGAATTATAAGCTTTAATGTTCTTTCAGTAGAAATCACAGTTACGTAAGCATCAGAGTTTTTTCTCAATACAAAATCACAGTTACATAAAACTTTAGCACTTTATCTCAATAGAAAATTACAGTTATGTGCAGTGATGAAAGACAGTACGGTCCAGTACGGCGTACAGGTAAGAATTTTAGTGCCAGTATGCAGTACCATTCAAATAATTTTATCAAGGTCATTTTATGTTTCAGTTTATCATAATGTTTTTTACCGATGCCATGTTATATTGTTGTAAAAAATATACTGTCCTTCATGTGGGAAGCATGCATCTGAGTTAAGTACTATATACTGTCCTTCATGTGGGAAGCATGCATCTGAGTTAAGTACTATATACTGTCCTTCATGTGGGAAGCGTGCATCTGAGTTAAGTACTATATACTGTCCTTCATGTGGGAAGCGTGCATCAGAGTTAAGTACTATATATACTGTCCTTCACGTGGGAAGCATGCATCTGAGTTAAGTACTATATACTGTCCTTCATGTGGGAAGCATGCATCTGAGTTAAGTACTGTATACTGTCCTTCATGTGGTAAGCATGCATCTGAGTTTAGTACTGTATACTGTCCTTCATGTGGGAAGCATGCATCCGAGTTAAGTACTGTATACTGTCCTTCATGTGGGAAGCGTGCATCTGAGTTAAGTACTGTATACTGTCCTTCATGTGGGAAGCATGCATCTGAGTTAAGTACTATATACTGTCCTTCATGTGGGAAGCGTACATCTGAGTTAAGTACTGTATACTGTCCTTCATGTGGGAAGCATGCATCCTAGTTAAGTACTATTTTTGATTCCATTCTAACCTAAAATTGTTTTCCAATAATAATAATAAAAACTTTTCCCTATTAACTTTAGTAGCTGTTAGTATTAAAATGTGGATATTCAAATATTGACGTTTCGGGTCTGCATAAATTAGCATTATTGCTTTCTATTAAACGTGGATGTCTGGGCTGTGGGGGGGGGGACACCACTACTATAGTGGTAAGAAATTAAAGTTACTTTCACCACTGAAAATTAGATTACGTAATCCTTAGTTTTTTTTCTCATTAGTAATTCGCTGTTACATAAGCTTCTAAATTTTCTTTCAGTAAAAAAAAAAATCCAATTACATAAGCAGAAAAGGCTAGTAATACCAAAGCTATAAAAACAGTGAAATGATGAGCTTAACAAATATATAGCAATTATTATTAGAAATGGAAGATAAAATATCCAAAAAAATGGAAAATATTTAATTCATTGTGAAATAGGCAGGAAATAAGAATTGTGGAGTTCAAGAAAACTTGAAATTGGTGTAGATCAGAAATTCAAGATATCAAACAAAAAATCTTGTCTAGGTCTTAAAATCATGGAGAAACTGGAAAATAAAATGAGAAATAATATTTTATAAAGGAAGTTTACCTTAAAGGAAGACATTTATGGAATCCCATCTTCCAAAATCACCTATTATTCAAAAAATAAATAACCATCAATTGCCTTTTCTTACTCTAACCAGAAGAAATGTAATTCTATAAAACGATTAACATTTGTAAGATAAAATAAATAAATATTAATTTGAATCTTTCCCTCACCTTTCTCAGAACAAAAAAAAATGTTGTGTTTTGAACTAAGTAAAGAAGCTTTCATATTACCAAAATAAGGACTAAAGACAATAATTTTAATATTAGTAATAAAATGTCTTTCATATGCACTACAGAAATCAAATAAACACAATAATTATTATTAAGGACATGACTGATGTTTTGGTGAAAGTTGTTTTGGGAATGGAAACTGTGAAATCTGTTAACTTGCATTTGATATGAGAGAAATAAATAAAAAATGTAACAGAAACAAATATCCTCTTGTTATAATTGATATATATTATTATTCAATATTTTGTATGTTAGTTGTGTGATTTTTAATTTACTTAATTAATTTTCAAATAAACACATAAACTAGCCCTTAAATAATTGAAAATTTGATTGGTATTCATATATGTCATGTCATATTTTGGTATTTAAATATTTTATTGTTTTTGTTATCCTTGAGTTAACTTGTGAGGGGTAAAAAATATCAAAAGTTAAAAGGAGTTAAACATGAAGATATGTACATAAATTGTGGGTAAAATAAAACATTTTGAAATATATTCGAATAATTGTAGTGGTTTAAATGATAAACTAAAAAGAAAAAGTAGATTAGATTATATAAGAGAAAACCATCAGACTTATTGTTTGGAGTATGTTCATTTTCCCAATAATTTTGAATCAGTAATAAAAGCTGCATGAGGATCCAAATGGGTTACAAACGTTGTTAAGGATAGAATCAGATATTTTTTCATAGAAAGTTTGAACTTCAAATTTAAATACTTAACAAGGATTTAAAGGGTTATATTATTGTAGCTGATATATATAAAGAATATTTGTCATTAGTAAATATTTATTTATGAGTCAATAGAGTTATATACAGAAGGGGTATCTCTATCTGAATAACCCAAATGTTGGAAAAACATATTATAGTTAATGCAAATATAGTCTTTCTGTTAAAAGCTAAGGGATCTTCATCCAAAAGTATTTTGTGTGTGTGTGTGTGTGTGTTACATAACATAAAAGTGAACCACTTTAAATAAGCACCAATAGTGTACTAAGGGGGGTGGGCCACCCAGGGGGACAACCAGGAAGGGGGTGCAATTAGGAGAGTTGAAATACCAGTACAAGTCTTCAAACCAAATGAAAAAATTGCCAAAGTAAGAAAAAAAAAATTTAAATGCTCAAACTATTACAACAGCTTAATGTTAATTTCCACTATAATTTTTATTTTTATTGGCAATACAAACTTTACAACGAAAAATTAAATATTTTATAAAAATTATCTCGAAAAGTGAACCTTTGTTGACCTTTTAGTCATCAGTTTGTTGAGCATAGCCAGCCAGGTGCAACTGACATTCCAAGTCTAGTCCACTTGACACTCTGACTCTATGTACTTGAGGTATGTTTCATTAAATAATTATGATAAAGCATAAAGTGCTGGTGTTTATAACAATATCATGGTACTTATATGAGTGTCCAGTAATTTTTGACAATGTGGTATGTGATGTTTAAATGTTTATAAATGCATCATTGTGATGTTATAGAAACTCGTGTTCATGAATGGTGGTTCCTGTGACTACTGGTGATCAGTAAAAAGACACAGGAAAGTCACACTTTGCACTAAACTTTAGACTTGACTTTTTCCCACAACCATTACTACTGAAGTAACGATGTTTTGTATGACTGAGTGAGTTTTTATGATGACTATGTGGTGATATTACGATGGTGGGGTTGATATGACTGCATGATTTTTTAATGCCACTACATAGTGATGTTAAGACAGAGAAGGTGATGATGTGGCTGCATGGAGATACGTTAATACTTACATGTTTAATATAGTACACACTGTTTGAGATTTCCATCAACAACTACAGAACTATTCTATATTGAATTAGTACTAATGGTTATTGGCTTAGTTAAGTCATCATAGTTTCAACAATTTTACATTGTCAATGTAGTATCATTGTATATTTAATATGTTGTTTATGGTTATTAAGCACATTTAGATTTTGATATATCAAGCATGTTTAAGTTTTGTGAAGGATGTAACTATAGCATGGTCTTTTGCTTATTAATCATCAATTATTTTTAAATATGCTACTAGCATAAGTTAGAGACTACAATATTTTGTTTGCAACTTATAAGAAATGAATAATAGAAAAGAGAAAGAGTTAGAAAAACAACTCTAGAATGACTCCTGAATACAAAATTCATAATGCAAGATATGGAATGTAACAAAACATTGTTTATTTCGAAAATATTATAAAGGAAAAAAAATAACTGTAATAATGATTAGGTCTAAACAAAAATCTATTGAAGAAGATGAAAGGTTTGCAGCACAATGTACAAACTTGAAAATAAAATAATGACAGAGTAATGAATGGAAGAGTAAAAATAATTTATAAAATATTGTCATAAACATTTTAGTAACTTGTATAAAACAGAAGATAATATTTTATAAAATATGAATTCGTACAAAACTAAAAGTTTTTAAAACTTTCATCTATAAATAGAGATGAGTTAGGAGAAATGATAAATTCCCAAGAACTGATGGCATTAAAGTTTAAGTTTTATTATTGTTATTATGTTTTTTTAGATTCAAGTGAATGATAAATATAAAACTAGAAAAGTATCAGTAATATGAATAGAAGGTATTATAATTGTCATTCCAAAGTAAGATACATTAAGCCATGTTTTACCAAACTGGAAAACAATTACTTTACTAATATAAACTAATTTCAGAATGTATAGCAGAAAGAATAAAACTGCATTACCTTTGTTAGTAAACAATGGTCAAAAACGCCCTGTAAAAAGTAGATTTTTCAAACGAAAATATTAGAACAGTTTATAATGTTATAAACTTTATTAAGAAAGTCTATGTCATACGAGTTTTACTATTATTACACTTTGAAAGTGTCTTTGGAACGTTTTCATGGACTTACTTAAATAAAGCTATAAATATATTCAATTTTGGAAACTTTATTAAACAAAAGATAAATGTGCTTTGTAAAGATATTATATCTACAATTATTCATAATGCCTACCAAGTGGACTTTTTTTCTGGTAATTAAGGAAATTAAGAGATTTTGTAGGAATGATAGCACTCTTTCCCTCTATTTACAAGTTATAAGTTAGTAGGAACCCATATTTATCTTGACATTTTCTCCAAGAAAAAGAACACATTAGCTCTGACTATTTACTCAGTTATCAATTCAAAAGAAATAGTTTAAATGTTTTGACTTTTTCTTACTAGAAACAATAAAATAGAGTTCTCTCTTATAGGTATTTTAACAGAATTTTTCACTGTTCTTAGGGAAAATGCTTTGTTTTTTTTTATATGGGATTTTATGTAAAGAGTGTTATTCAGGAAGAATTCAAATATACATGAATTAAAAATATTAATTCATTTTTGTTATTTTTCAATATGCACATGATACAATATTTTTTGAGATGGGACTGAAATGTCATTAAAAGATTCATTAAATATATTAAAAGGTTTGGAAATTGGTCAGGTTTAAATTAAATTTAGAAATAAAAAAACAATTTATGTCAAAAAATATATATTTTTTTTATTTTAAATAATTGGAAACAGTTAAAATGCATAGAATTTTTCCAGTATTTAGGCATATAATTTCTATTAGATTTAAATATATATATTTTTCCAGTATTTAGGCATATAATTTCTATTAGATTTAAATATAATTAGTGATATCAATTATGACCTCAAAATAAATGAAGTCTTGAAAGTAAAAAATGATTGAAGGATTGGACTTTATCTTCAGTAATGTCAAATCAGATAGAATAATTAAAGTCGTATGGGATTTTTGGATATGCGAACCCATTGTTACAAAAATAAAAAATTGCGCCCCGCTTTTTAGGACCTTGGGTGAATTATAATGGTGACATTCCAGTCCCACTATTCGCTCAGACAAGCGTAGCCCAACAAAAGTTAATTGTGGATGCTGTTGAGAAGCTATATTTTCTGTAGCTATCAGTTCAAAATTTGGGACAGCTAGCAGAGACAGCCCTTGAGTAACTTTGCACGAATATCTGAAAACAAACAAATAAAAAATATGAGAAGTGGATTTCAAAAGGGTAAAACTGAAATCTTTTATAAAAGATATAAAATTACTTGGATTCTTAGATTACTTAAAATGAATAACAGTATAACAAATTTCGGTAGTAAAAAGAAAGAAACATTGGATTTATTTCTTTGTAGTTAAGCAGAAAGCTATCTGTGCTGTGCCCACCTCGGGCATCGAAACCCGGTTTTTAGCGTTATAAGCTGAGCCACTGGGTGCAACATTGAAAATAAACTTAAAATATTTTTTTGAAATATGTTGTACTAGTTTTAGTGATTTTTTTCTCAAGTGTTGAAGATTAAGAAATAAATAATTCTATGAAAAAAACCACATTAAGACAGTCTCAAAGGAAGGAGAAAAAAAAATCCAAGCTTTTAGTTCTTGAATGAAAAATTGAATATTTTTTTGTACGTGACTTAATCTCAGATAAAGAATTATTTTATAATGATGATGAATTTATAAATACATATAAATGTAAACTTTATATGATTAATTACTGGAGCATACAGAACATACTTAAGAAACATGTAAATGTAATATGTAAAACAGAATGATAAATAAAATCAAACTTTGTGCTAAACACAATAAATGTTATTTCAAAACGAATGAAAAGATGTAAAATATTTATAATATTGTTTTTATACAGGAGATTTTATTTTCGTAAAATTTTGAGGAATCCTGTGACTTTCGTTGTTCACTGGGTGTTTTACTGGAGGCTGAAATTTAATAATTTATTTAACGTTGCTAAACATTTTACCAGTTATTGACGTGTTTGTGTTTTAATGTATCAGAGAATAAAGTCACTAGATATTCGACATTTTAAGAGTTTCGAGTTTGTTTATTTATTTTTTTTTATTTAACAGACAGCCAAATTCCGCATACCATGTTAGCGTTTCTCCAGTGAACTTATAATTTTCAATACAACGACTGCATGACATGCACGTGACACGTGAAGGAATTTGCTCAATCGCACTGTTTAGCTATCTTTCTAAAGATTATTGAGAATATCTGTCATGCCTTCAAATGCAACGATATTAATTTAATTTTGGAAAAAGGTTCGGAAAATACATTATCTTCAAAGTAAAAATACCTGACATATTTTATTTAAAAAATGGATTTATTCGTGATACTATGTTTTGATTCCTGTAATGATCAGCGTTCTGAGGTAAAATGTGTTCAAATAAAAACTTTAAAAACCACGTTAAAAGCTGATAAAACTGTAAAATATCACTTGGCATAGAAAGTGTTATCATTCAAATCATGGACATCTTTTTCTCCGACTAAATATTAAACGTGTGACAGTTTTACCTAAATCTATTTCGTCATGTACACACAAACATATATCGTCGAACTGATGGATGGTCATAATTAAGGTTTATTACAATATGTGTTAATTATCAATGCGTATTCAAAACGTTTTGTTAAAATTAGTTGTTTTTTAATCAACGCAATCTGAATTTTGTCTTTTTTGCTAAGATTTTAAGTGCATGTCTGGTGGTCATTGGTCATCGTTTTCTTTTTGTTTTGTTTTTTACACATCTAACCACTAGGTGGAGGAATATTTTGCCCAACTTCCTAATCACAAAGTACCCCGACTTGGTACTCCAGGGGAAAAATACAGAGACAAGCAGTTGATGCTGCAACTTCCCAAGCAGGACTTAGCTCTAGCCTATTGCAAGTTCCTGGAACGAGAGTACTACCAGAACTTCGAGGATTTCGTGAACGCCAGAAATGAGATTGCACTGGACATCGGTTACGTTCGTGAAACGTTGGATCAAACATTAGTAAGTTCTCGAGTAGTAGATGCGGTCTCAGGGTGTTTCGTTAAAAAATTTCGGGAGAAACAGGTGTGGTTATTTTATTTAAATGTATAGAGAAAACAGATAGAATTTACAGTATTTTGTTAAAGTATTTGGAGAAGCAAATAGCTATATACAACCCATAAATTTATCGTTTCAAGTTATAATTTTTTTTCATATTTGTTTGATTACAGGTTATTTTACCTTTTTTTTATTTACTGTCTTGTTCCTATGCGATTGTAGGTCACTATTTAATATTATCGTGTTTTATACCATGACTCTACACCCGGCACTAATACTACCTAGTGCGTGTACGATATTGATAAGAGTAAGTACAAAATTAGGCATATGATATCATGAACATAGTTCTAAGTGTCTTTTTTTTTCTTTTTTTTAGTCGAAGTTTAAATTTTTTGTCGTGGCTCTTATCATCTCTTTGCTTGAAAACCGCTATGCTAAATTCTCCCACAAGTGTTGATTTATTGGTTATTGGTGTTTTCCAAAAGGTTGTATTAAGATGTTAAAGTATGCACTTAAGGTCTTAGTAAATTGGTGTCAACAAATTAAAAACGAAGTTGTTGATATATTAGTTGGGATGTTACTCCAGCGGACAGCATGTTGATTCAATTAATGCACTTTCGTTGTTTCAAACTTCGCTAGTGGTTTGCAGCTATCACCACGGTGTATGTGAAGTAGAGTACCAAATTAAGTAGGATCAGCTGCCAGCTGTACAGCTCCCGGACTGCTAATTAACAGTGATTGATTTGCTTGAATCTTCAGTTAACTATTTCTTTATTTCTACACGGATTCAGCCATTTTGTTTTTTAATTCTGCTTATTGTTTTCTAATTAGCTATTGTCCTAACAGCCACTGCAGGCTTTGCATGTTTTTATTTTTTTACATCAGTTTATTAGTTTTCAGTATGCTTTTCTTTTTTTCTTTATAAGATTCTTCTATCAAATGCTTCCCTCTCCCCTTTCTTAAGAGTAACTGAATCCTTCACGTTTTTTGTGTTGTTTTCTAAAGTGTGTGTCCATCAATGCTGTATTATTACAGCTTTACAAATAAGTAATTTTTATTGACCTTTAAAACAAAAAAAAGAAGTACAGAGCAGTTAATCAGTGAAACACTCTAATTCTTATATTACTATGTAGAACAGTTCCATTCAACCCCTTTAATTCTTATAACACTAAGTGTTTCTTTCTTTCTTTTTTTTTTTGCCGAAGAGTAGGGGTCAGCATTTCAGGGAGATTTATCTTGTTTAAATTTCGTACATTACTAAGTTCCATTCAACCCCTCTAATTCTTATAATACTGTGTATAACAGTTCCATTAATCACCAAACATGCTCGCCCTTTCAGCCGTGAAGGCGTTATATAATGTGACTGTCAATCCCACTATTCTTTGGTAAAAGAGTAGCCCAAGAGTTGGCGGTGGGTGGTGATGACTAGCTGCCTTCCCTCTAGTCTTGCACTGCTAAATTAGGGACGGCTAGCGCAGATAGCACTCGTGTAGCTCTGCGTGAAATTCATAACAAACAAAGCATTAAATGATGACAATAGTATTTACAACTTATAAAATAATATTGAGCATTTGCTACTCTTTGAAGCAAAGTTCTCGAGCACTTCTTGAGTTGTTACGATGAAATTCTAGATCAAGTATTTGAATTTTCCGGGGGGTAAAGTCCAATGCCCCATCCAGCCGCTGAACACGTCCATTTGTTACATAATCTGACACTGTTAGGCCTACTCGAAGCTAGTCAAGAGAAGGTAAGAATAACGATTACAAATGTTTGAGAGAAAATACTACTTTAAGCTTTAATTGACTCGGGGTATATATATATATTTCACTGTTTTTATACGCTCTTTTCTCTTTCAAATGTTCAGCTGATACGATATTTCATTCTAACTTTGTATAAAACCCTTATCAAGCGAATTTCTGTCATTTGAAATACAGTTTGCTACGCTCAACTGTTATTCAATCTCCAGTTGTAAAAAAAAAAGGATTTCGTTTTTAAATTATTTTTATATTTACAGTTTTCTCCGTGTTTTTTGTAAGAATGTGTTTTATCATTTCAATCCTTTAGTAACTTGTCAGACTTGTTTCGTTCTAAGTAATAAAACGTTTGATGCGTCTTTTTCCCCCTCCAGAGGACTCAGCGGCAAGTCTGAGGGCTTTTAATGCAAAGCACAAGTAAATCATTGTGTGTAGCTTTACGCTTAACAACAAACAAATGATACGCCTCCTGGCGAAATTTCTGTTTATTAAAATGTGAATTAAATTAAATTCAAAACTTTGAACTGGATAATATGACCTTCCTTATCTTGCTTCAGGAGTGCTACAAGTGTCATGGTGTCTTGCCTCAAGGAGACATAGCTGTAATAGCCCCGAAGTTTGGAGAAAGCGTAGCCTGGCACCCGGCTTGTTTTGTGTGTACTAGCTGTGACGAACTGTTGGTGGATCTCACCTACTGTGTTTGGGAGTCCAAACCTTATTGTGAACGAGATTACGCCGAACTACTAAAATCACGGTGCGCAGCCTGTGATGAGGTAAGGTTGATGAGATATAACACAATCAGAGATCCTCTTGTTCTAAAAGGTCAGCTAAAAATTATTTCACGTCTCATAATTTTCATGTAAATACTAAATTACATCGTGGAGTAATTCCTGCATATACACTGAAAAGTAAATGCTCAATGTAATTAATCAATTTTTATCTCTCTATTTACTTGTTTGTTCTGTCTCTCTGTTGGTATCTTTTTATTTTCTACTACTACCTAACATTTTTTATCATCTGCCAATTGAATGTTGTAATTATAGAAATTACTGACAGAAGTTGGAGTAATTTTTAATAATTTTGGTCAGACATTTTTATGCAGTACTCACGAGTCTAATAATTTAGATAAAAAAATAAATATAAAATACACGCTATAACTTTTTGCACCAACATATAGAGACAAATTTTTATCTTTATGCATATATTGTTAATTAATTCAAATGTATTGAAATTATAAAATATGACAAATGATAATTATTATTCACCTTGTTTCTATTGCTGCTTGTAGATCACGTTTTTAAGACTCTATCATGCTTGTGCTGCCACCTAGTGGTATTTATAACTAGCAGCAGTAATATTTTTTGCTGCAATTTAAAACTGTGTGTTCTAAATATCTATATGTTTCTAATACAGAATAAAAGCAATTTGTTTATATAATACTCTTTCTCCTAACATTTAGCTATGTGAAGCTATTCAGTATATTTCACCAGACCTAACTACGACGTTAATGGGTTTCTTATACAGAACGAAATAAAATACAGTTGTTTATGGACAAGAAATAGGTGCTGTTTCTCAGTTTAAGGCTATTTTAAGGTTAGCAGTAGTTGCCAGATTGTCCTGCTATAAATCTCTATAAAGTCAGTATAATATGTGGGATGTTACTTTACGGAATTCTAGCAATGAAGTAATTTACGTTATCAGAATTTCGAAGGCTGCAATACAAGGTAAGGGGTAAAAATGATGTTCTAAAATAATTAAAAGCCACGAATAAACACGATATAAAGAAAAAATGCAAGTTTATTTTAAAAGCTCGCTGTTTATTGGTATTTAAGATACAGTCAATGGTTTCGAAACTCTTTTAAATACTTTGGAGCATCGGCTTGATTACCTTCAGTCCCTTATCAGGATAGCATTTGGATTTTTGTTATATTTGAAAGTGTATTTAATTTTCAGCCAATTGTCTCTTCATGAAACATATAGTTAACTAAATCTTTGTTGTGTTCGTGAACAAAATAAAAAAATATTATATTTCATATTTGCTGTTTATTGTCGGATCAGTCGTCTAGTTTTCCAGGTCGAATTGTTCTTGTCGGATCAGTCGTCTAGTTTTTCAGGTCGAATTGTTTTTGTCGGATCAGTCGTCTAGTTTTTCAGGTCGAATTGTTCTTGTCGGATCAGTCGTCTAGTTTTCAGGTCGAATTGTTTTTGTCGGATCAGTCGTCTAGTTTTCCAGGTCGAATTGTTTTTGTCGGATCAGTCGTCTAGTTTTCCAGGTCGAATTGTTTTTGTCGGATCAGTCGTCTAGTTTCCTGGTTTTCCGGCCATTCATATTTTCATTCCAGTAAATGTGAATTCATTGTATCCAGAAAATTAATATACATAAACAACTATTTTGATAAATAAAGACAAACTCGATCACTCCAGTTACTTATTTGAGTTAGAAAAAATATTTTTTTCTCAAGTACCCGTAAATTTACGTGTGTGAGGTGGCAGCACTGCTGCGTAAGTTTCAAAGGGCAACTCCGCAGAGAAAACAAACTCCGGTTTGTTTTTGACAAAGTAACAATATTATATTTCTGTCATCCGTATTTTTATATCGCTTGTTAGAGAAGTTTACAACAGCTGTAAGGACTACTGAAACCAACAACTCAAAAAAAAACTTAACCCCCAATTATGGTTTAACTAATTAGAATCATGATAATTGTTGTACATTCAGGATATCCGCTCTTATGGGTTACGCTCTCTGGTATTCTTGTTGTGGAGAGCATTGTCGTAGTTAACTATTTCATTCAGGATAATGTAGCTCTTACTACAAATCAAATCACAAAAAGGTAAAATAAGTAGCGTCCAAAACTCTTGAACAACTTATATTTGAAATCCTGCATCTGCCAGGAAGAGCTACAATAATGTAATTAAAAAAGATTGGACAATGGATATTTACAGTTAGTTCAAAATGGAAATATATATACGATACAGATGAACAATTCTTCTTTACGTTAAGAAACGATTACCACGGTTCACGTTTTCCTTCATAAAAATGTTTGTTTAAAGTGACCAATCCAACATAAGATTTGAGTTCATTTGAAATGTTTAAAATATATCTTCGGTTGTGAAGAAATAGCTACTATTTAAGGGCGGATTATTTAGTCAATAATATACATTTCAAAAGGTAAACATTTTGGAACATACCCTAATTAAACTCGCTCTTCACCACCGTAAACCGTGAAAATATAAGAAGCATAAAGACGTAGAGATAGATGGTTTGTGGAACAATAACGCACGTAGTAGACAACAGGATTAAAACACACGCTAAGGTTACTAAAGTCTTCGAATATAGAGTGCCGTTATTGGTTGGTCACAGGTGATTTACATGTCATCGTTTAATTAATTAATCTTTTAAAAGCTACAAACTTTGGTCTGCCAGAGTCAAGCGATAGTAACGAATTTGTTCCTGTCTTTTGATTGTCTGTCTTTGTCATGTCTAAGTGATAGTTAAAATATTGAAAAATATAAGTGTACTCTTGTTCTTGGACAGTCAGCTCCAAACTTCTGATCGCTTGCTCAAGTTTGGCGATATTAATAAATTCCGTGTTCCTGTCCCTTGACAGTTAAAAACTATAAATTCCTGTCTGCCACGACTCTAACATACCAGAATGTAAATCTGAGTTGCGTGTACCAATACCACAAAAACGCAATGCGCAGTTTGGTGATATTAATAAATTCCGTGTTCCTGTCCCTTGACAGTTAAAAACTATAAATTTGCGCATTGCGTTTTTGTGGTATTGGTACACGCAACTCAGATTTACATTCTGGTATGTTAGAGTCGTGGCAGACAGGCATTGGAGTCATCGGCGCACTCTAGAACTGTCAAATCTTACTATTCGATTAAAGTAGCCCAGGAGTTGGCGGTGAGTGCTGCTGACTAGTTGTATTTTCTATCAGTTACAAATTAGGGATGGCTAGCGGAGATAGCTCTATACGCTAAATTCAACAAACAGTCAGAGTTTAGTGATTGTATATAAAAAAGAAAAAAAGTGTATGTGTGTTCATGTCGTTTAACTGCTGTAAGCCACAAACCTCTGTTTATTAGGATTTAGTATTAGTAAGAAAAGAAACTGAATGTGTTTCTGTCATTTGACTGTCGTAATGTTAAAACAATCATCTCTTTATATAATAGTGAATTACTTGTATATATATTCCTGTTCCTTGTCTTGGTTGTACAGGGGAGCAACGCCTTTTCAGAATAAACATCTGATATCGTGATGTTGAACACGTCATTAATAATGAAAAATTGCACGGGAGAGTAATGATCGATATGTGATGTAAGTCACGTGATATCGCTTTGTAGCTAGCATTTGAGTGTGATATTCGTAGTAATAAGCACGTGCCACTTTGTACTTGCACGTTTTGGTGGACAAAAGAAACAAACAGGAATCGGCTTTCTATATGATATAACCATCTGCTTCTGAGTTTTATTAATTCTTTACAAAACTTACCTTTACACTTCTTCACAACTTCGTTATAAGTAAGACATTTTTTCCAAGGAATTTAGAATAAACGTGTAGTATCTGTTGCTGTTTTTTTATCTTAGCGTACTAGCCACGTGTTAGGGAAATATATATTTAGAAAGAGTTGTATATGTGCTACACACGTGTGAAAAAAAGAGTATCTAAGTACCATTTTCAGGGTATAATATCAACTCGAACTTCCGGATAGTTTTAAAGCAACTTTTGATGAATTAAATACAATTTGAGAAATTGTTCTGTTTAGAATATTATAAATGCAACTTTAGAAAAACGCCATTTATGAAAAAAAGATAAGCACAGCTTCTTGACCCTCCCAAAAAAACAACAATAACAACAAAAAACAAAGAAAACGAAATTTTATCTTGTTGAAGCTAATTCTCTGCAACATTATATGATCGGTAAAATTGAAGTTGTAGTAACTTCCTGAATTTTTATTCTACTTTAATGACCAATTCTAAACTCTTACAACACCAGTTACATGTTAGCGTTGAATTCAACGGCATTGTCCTTAATCTTATTCAGGGCTAGACGACTTTCAATTATATATGCTTGCAGTCGGTGAGTATTCAACAATGAAATAACCAGCTCAAAAACGCTGTGTGCGTATTCGACAATACAACAAAAAGGCTGTGTGTGTGTGTGAATTCAACAATAAAAGAACCAGTTCACAAACGCTGTGTGCGTATTCAACAATACAACACAGACTGTACACAGCGTATTCAACAATACAACACAGATTGTACACAGCGTATTCAACAATACAACAGAGACTGTGTGTATGTATTTAATTCAAAAGTAAAACAACAAACTCGTAAGGGGTACATGTATGTATTCAACAGCAATACAATCAGCTCTCAACAGCTTTATATGAATTTTAAAGTAATAATTCATAAATTACACTTCTCAGCTTTCTAAACAAGCAATATCGAATAATGATGTATAATATCTTGTTTCAATTATCAAAATCATAGTACCCCCTTAAAACTTGCCTCAATTATCAAAATCACAGTACCCCCCTTAAAACTTGCCTCAATTATCAAAATCAAAGTACCGCCTTAAAACTTTTCTCAATTATCAAAATCAAAGTACCGCCTTAAAACTTTTCTCAATTATCAAAATCAAAGTACCGCCTTAAAACTTGCCTCAATTATCAAAATCACAGTACCCCTTAAAACTTTTCTCAATTATCAAAATCATAGTGCCGCCTTAAAACTTGCCTCAATTATTAAAATCATAGTGCCGCCTTA